ACGCTAATACTTGACCAGCGCCCCTTTTTCACTGGAAGAATTTCAAGCACTTGCAAAAAGTCATTGGAGTGCGACTTATCAAAAGCGAAGTTATAATTCTGGCAAAAATACTTTAAAAAGGAGTCCATTTCAAAAATTTGATCTCCAGTAAGAGTTTTATAGAAACTAGAAAGTGAGTACGCACGAAAGTTTTTCCAAATTAAATATTCTTTTTCCGCTAAAAAATGTCGGGAATGGCGTCAAGAGTGAAAAGGGTCACTGCATCAGAGAGATAAATAATCCATATTTTCAATGTGTTTTGGATTTGTGTGTTGACGACGAGGCGTAACCAGAATGGACATAAAAGGAGCGGCATAAAAGAGAGCGCTATTATGAAAATACCAATGCACAAAGCTGTGGACTAAATTAATTTTGTTTCCTTACTAAGTAGGGGGTAAAATTCGGTCGTAGAGACAAAAACTGTTGTAAGAAAGAATTTTTCCCTAATAAAATTTTGAACTGATGTAATTCAACTGCCCATCGAGATATCACATATATTGTTGTGACTAAAGGAAAAGGGGTATTTTTTTTCCTTGCAAAAAACTGTCTACAGGTAGTTTGATATTTTAATGACGAAACCCTTATCGCAAATGGTGCGGATTTGGGTTGTAGCATTTGAGACAGTTTGTGGGTATGTTACCGAATTTGCGTGCGTTTTGATATAGCTTAATACCAAAGGTTACGAAATCTTCGGAAACGTGACTTAGCGAGTTATTATATCGACGTCTATCTTCCGAAAGCCAGTATCAGATGGTTTAATTTTCTCATCTATAAGGCCAATTACAAGAAAGCGAAAAGATTAAAGGATTTACAATCTCTGGTGTTTAGATTGGAATTAGTTCCTGTTTAAAAAGGCACAAACTGCTGTTGTATGAATTGTGCTTCGGGCTCAATAGGTTTGGCTAATTAAATTTAAGTTAAATCGCTTGGTTTTAAAAGAGTCGACTAGTTCGATTCATCGAAGGGTTCCGAACACGATTAGAATCATTAGCTTTTCAGATTCGATTAAACCTAACCTTATCTACGGAGACTATAATGACCTTGTGACTGCGATCTAACGGGATCCAAGGACAATAAGCGCAGCATTCTTGTGACAGAACTTGCCGCCTGAAAAGTCCAGAGCAATTGATCACGATATGAAATTAAGTTATGGTCTCGCGAGAGTGGACCCAGCTGATCAAATTCTTTCAAACGAGTCTGCTTTCTGATTAGCTTATCGTTAGACCCTTAGAATTTTTTTAGTAAAAGTCAATTTAGCCCCTAGATTGCAAGATCAAGAACTGGTCTTCAAGACATTGCACGCAGCTTCACTCGGAGTAGTTCATGGAGTAATTACGGTCCAACTTGAATTTTTCCTTGCATTTCTGTCCATAAATGATAAAGAGCGAGGCATTTCTTGGTCTTCTTTTGTCATAAGGATATAACTTATTTGCACTTTAGTCATTAAGACAGCATATTTTGTTGCGTCACTGTACAACAATAGAAGAAAGAAGTAGCGAATTTTAATATCGGTAGCCCCGTTACGAAATGGTTTTCTGTGATCGTGTTTCACAAAAAAATTGAAAGTTTTAGGGGAAAGAGAACCTTCAAAGAAGAACTTCACAATTCATCTTCTTAAGAATTCCCGTTTAAACTCGACTAAATGCGTCAAAACGCCGCTTTCAAGCTGTAAATCTTAAATTATACGGATTTGGACTGGCCGCTTTGTGACCATTACAAAGAAATTTTATTACGAACCCAGTGAACATTCTGTGTTTATCACAATACAATAGCACTGCCGAACACGAGGTGTGGAGAACAATTAGAGATGACTATAAAAACTTCGAGGAGGTCTTCTTGGATAGCCTAAAGGCTCGCTTCTCAGTACTGACTTGTTTATAGAACTCTTAACGGAGAAGTAAACGGTTCTGCCCCCTTGGTGAAACACTGAATAAAGAACAAGAAGCTAGAAACGTGTTCGAAAAGTCATCTAAGAACATTTGTTTACGTTCTGTTGCTTGACGGTAAACAATGGCTGTCACAGAATAAATGAAAACGAATGAGCTAATCTGTCATATTTTTATCCGTCGAAAGACAAGCATCTCTTCAAGTATTATTTTCAGAGAAAGTTTTTGTATTACAAAATTGTCTGGAATACAAGAAACTGAAAGCACTTCATTCAACTGTTTGTACCTACCCCATCCCTAAACATGACAGATTTCTAATACTTGAATTAGTACGGGCACGACACGCAATTTAAGGGAGCTCATTTCTTATAAACATTCCAGCGAGGATAATAAAATATCCAAATTAACAAAGCGACATGGTTTTCACGGATATTGAGTAAACGATGGAGCTAATAATTGTGCTACCAGAGAATAAAAGAGGGCAATGATTATCACTAAGAGTTGGTTATCTGGTAACATTTATAGCCTAAAATGCATTTGAATATTGGACCCACATGTCAAAAGGGGTTTCATTGGCTAACGCATAGACATAAATTGTAACGAATCAATATTGACCTGTGACCTGCGTATATCGCATTTATTTCCTTTTGTATCTATTGGGACAAATGGCAACCGTACTCGTTGCGACGCTTTGTGAATCAGTTTCCTAAGATACGATAGGTATATGTTTTTTTAATGGTTTGACGTACAAAGAAGTTGTTTAAGGCCGTTGGCTTCGGCTCTCAAACTTAAACGTGCTTCCCTCGTATTGCAATAAAAAAAATATTGACATTCCATACCGAACCTTACACAGTGACATGGTACGCAATCTTAAAATTTGGCCTCGAGCTATTCCTATGAAACACGGCCGCCTAGTATCAAATCTCTTGAATTACTAATAGGTTTTCGTTTTTTGTATATATAAAAAAAAATAATTTTAATCAGGTATAACACAAGAGAACAAAGCTTAATTGGCAAAATTCTCAACTAGGCCCTAGCCATCCTAAGCGACGTGTGTAACAAGGCTGTGCGAATTTTACAGAAGGGAATAAAATAAATCATTTCGCAAAAGACATAAATTTGCTCATGGCGAATACTCACCCCACTCCATACGCCGAACTCAAAACGGGTCAACCATTGCCAGGAAGAGGGTGCATTTTTGTCTTTATTCAAGAGAACAGCTAAAATTATGATTCAAAAATAAACTAATTAGAACAAAATCTCCTCTCTTGATTAACTGTTCACTGATCAGAACTGGTGAAAAACAAAAGTTGCGTTGAAGCAAAGATGAACATTTCTTGTACATACCTCTCTCTGCCATGGCCTTATAATGTGTCAGGCCAATGGAAACAAGAAACACCACTTCCAAAAGTTGTTTGAACTCCTTTGATTTCATATCGGCAATTTCAGCACCTCAAAGCTAAGACTTTTCGTGTCTTACATTCACAAAAGATTTCAACCAAAATTTCCCTAGTTACTGTTTTTTCACGTAGAATTTCACAAATTTTGCGCAACTTTAGTATGCGATCTCTCAACACGCACAGAGAAGGAACACGAATGATTGTCCACAGTGGAGCTAGTCACCATAAGACATACAGATCTTGTACTTAACTCTGTACTTTTGTGTATGCGGATTATGCAAATTAAAAAACCAATAGCTGAATGTAATAGAAAACGTCAAATGGTAAATTGTTTGGAATGATCGATGACGCTGACGTCGTAAGTGGGATGTGAACAAGGTGTCAAAGCAACGTTGTACTGAAATAACCCTGAAATGATACTTTTATTACTTTGCATTCAGAATACTCTCTTTAAATTTAGACTGGCCAAAACCAAAGCAAACGGTAAGTTTTCCGTCACGTTTACGCTTAAACGGATTAAGCTAAAGGTAATTATTACGCCATTAAGGGAAAAATTTCCCAAGAGGTTTAAACTCACAAAACTGGTTGAGCGCTAAAATAGTATGGTCTGTGCATTAGGCATGGCACGATTTTCGACATAATGAAGCCCACAGACATACAAGAGACGGATGATTTAGGGAAAGACTGAACACTAGGGCTATCAAGTCGCTCACCTGCCGAAGACTAACCTGGATTATCTTGCACGAAATAACGGATTAGGAGGATTTTGTTCCTTTCGGATGGGATGCCTAGAGTTCATAACTGATTTACCCCTCCAGTTACTCGTTAGATTTCCCTTACACCACAAAGTTTCAACTCGATCATCTATATTCCTGGGTAAAGGGAAACACTGTGAACATCAAATGTCTCCACCTTGAAAACCACACGCATCGGCTTAGTCATACACCTGTGGCTGAATGCGCATCTTTCGATTAAGAGTGGGCATGCTACCAAATCATGTGGCCATTGCTTTTCCCACTTTTTCGCTTTTTAAACAGTGTAGAAAAAGGATGCTTTTCTTACAATAAAATTTCGAGCGTAAACATGCGTTTTTAAGCTGATAATTTGATCAAAATAATCATAAGTAAAAAGCTACATGATCTCAGTGTAGGTGAAGCGGTCGCTCGGTATTAGGCCATCGAAAATGCATTAAATAGTCGATTACCAGATCAGATAAATTGGAGCTGAAATAATCAAATTATCATGTTTGTCTGCTGATAACTACAACTCGCGTAACTTGAATTCCTTCTTAATGTTAGAGTTTAAGGGTGACCTGTAAGCTAGGTTACAAGACGCAACACTTGTATTGAAGGTTACATAAAGTGAAATAGTACATTCAGTGAGCCAAGAATTCCTGAGGCCAAAATGATCGAGCCGGACAAGTTCTAGCTATACTAAATATGTAAGATCTTGATCTGTCGGAAGCTGTTTGTATTCAAAAGTCTCGTTCAATTTTTACAAGAATACAGTTTGATTGTTTTATTCTTGTTAGCACTGCAGCGTGGAAATGTTTTTACTGTAAAGTGTTATCACCAGTTATTGTTTTGTGAATCAAAATTAAGTCATTTCCAGACCGATAAGAATTTTTACTAAACAAAAGGGCTTTCTTTTTACATCAACAAAGTGAAGTGCAGATCTTTTAAACGTTTCGCTTAAAAATAGATCAAATCTGAATCTCGAAGGAGGTCAAAAAGCCTATCCAGAGGCTGGATACTACAGGACCTGATCAGCTATGACGGGTCTATCCCGATAAACGGGTTTAAAAGGTGAGATAAATGACAATATACTCGCTGAATTTTATATACCAAGGAAGAGTATTAACCAATCTGTGCGTTATTGAATCAAGATAAGCAAGTTTATTCCAGTAGAAAGACTGCGCTTGAACAATTAGTATTACACCTTCTTGTAGCGAAAATTTGACTCCCGCACAGGATAATGTCTGTCCATTGTTATAAACGTTTAGGCATTCTTCCTCGGTCATCAAAGGCTCTCACAGAATTGTTTCGCTCAAATTCGTTGAATCTGTTCTTAAACCCTCACAACTGATCATTCTGGCCGAATTGTGGCCGTAATTTAACCACCTTTGGCAAAAATCATTTGTTGGGTGAAAATCTAAGTGGTCGCTGCTATTCAAGTTGTCGCTGTTTATACCAGAACATAGAGCAGAGCAAAGATCATTCCAAGTCTTGAGAAAAAGTTATTCATTAAACTAATAAAGAAGATTCCGGTCAAATATTCAACGAAGAACAAAAAGGGTAAAGTTTTTTTATATTTTCCGTACTTTGTTTTAGCATGACGAGCGAGCTCAAAACTGCAGCTTTGGAATATTTTTACAATTGCTAATTCACATTATTAGTACAGTTTTTATTTTAAAATCAGAGCTACGAATGTCATTCATAAATAAGTTTACCTTATTTCTTCGACACTCAGCGTTTAATTTAGGATGGCCTGAGATTTTTGCTTCGTTCTGACTTTTTTTTTCGTTTGGTCGAGCTTCTTCACGAATGAAATAAGATCTAGTAGGTAAATTAGTGCTAACAACTGAGTTGAAAACGTAAATTGGCCACCGTAAAGAATAAAAAAGCTGACGCTTCGAGCGTTAGCCCTTCGTCAAAGCGATTGATGCCCTGAATTACCTTCTATACTCTCCCACCGACGCAGCACCACAGTTTCTTTAGAAACTTACTCCCTGAAATAAGATCTAGATTAGACATGTACTTGCCGCTAATTAACTCCTAATTCATCTCCAAACAAAAACATGCCTCTTTTTCGACTGTAAAAGTTCTGAAATCATTTTAATTTTTAAAGAAAAGCAATTTCGATGTAATAAGTGACACCAGATGAGTATTTGAGCACAGATTATGACCCCCAGTAAAGAATGGCCCAGTGAAACAAACTGTGTTTTTCTGATGGCGTGTCGAAGAGGAACAATGGATGCTCTGATTATTTCATGTGGAACTCTGTTGCATCTTTGAACTAAGTCAGTTTGTTAACTCAATAATTCTACCTGCTTCAGCACAGCTCAATCCCATTTGTATGACCGTGTTACGATGTTAATTAAGGGACGGTTGCATTTCTTTATACCGTTCCGTTTTTCCTAAATTTACATTTTCTTCCACAGGCCATGATCTCTTCGGAATAGCTACTTCAGGAAGGGAAAATTTTATCATTAACTCAGTTGATAAAACTAACACTAAAAACATTTCGCACCTACTTACATTGGCGTGCCTCCTTGCGGCATAAGGTGGGTTATATTGCCTTTAGAATCATATCAACAAGCATTTGCTGCGATTACATATCTTTGAGTGAATTGTCACAAGAACGTTAAGTGTTTTTAACCCATGATAAAAAAGAGGGTGGCGAAGACTCGTACACCAAACAGAAAGCTAAACTTGAGACACTGAGGAGAGGATGGAGACATTTCGCGCTTGACCCGTCTGTTTTCTTGTAAGATATCTTATTTAGATTTATTTAGATTATCAGTGTAGCAATTGTCAACAAAACATTAAGAGCCTCTTCAATTAATAACTTAGAGTCCATGCAATATTCAGTCAACAATGAAATACAATCGTTGCTACCAAGAACATGAATACAAAAGCTTGTAATAAGCCCTTTTTCACTCATGAAAGTGAGCTTGAAAATCGTATCCAGTGTGTGGTTTTAAGACGAGGTTTGATCGCTCAGGCGTTGGTAGTTCTCTTAATTTTTGTGTCTTCTGTGCCTTCCAGCAAGGCCGTTGGCGTTACGCTATGGTGACTCGTCTCTGGTTCAGCTAAGAATATGGCCATCTTCGAACGAATCTGATCGAGTTTCTTCGGATTAATCATTTTTTTTTTGTTTTTTTGTTTATTGATGTTTTTTTTGGGGGGCCAACCTCTGCATTTCGACTTGTCATCGATTTGAGCGTAAAAGCTACGTCGTCAAAAGTTCTCACATGTGAGCTTTACTCTAAACTTATCCAACATATCCTTTGTAGAAGAATGTAAATTGAAAAGAAAAAATTGAAAAAAAAAAGAAAAAGGAAGACAAAACAGTTTAACGTGGAGAAAGCTCGAATATTATAGGTATATTGATTGTGCTAGGTAAGTAGAGCGTACAAGGCGGCGAAGTTTTGTGTAATAACACATCTGACGCACATTTATTACATGTACCTATTCTAGTAATTTACTGCCCTGTCTCCAGCCTGTCAATTGACCAGTGTACAAACTCTGTTCTAAGCGAATCCTCCTTTTGACAAGAGCTGTTCATCACAATCCCTTTATTTTATACCGTATTGTTTTTTTTTTTTCAGCAATACTCTACAGCTATTCAAGTAGACACATGCAGTCAGAAATTAATAAGCGCAAGATGTCTTTAAATTTCTATGCTTTCGAACATCTTACTAGAATAAATCAACTGGAGTTTTTGATGGTCTGGTCTGGACTTGAGAAACATCACCCAAGAAAGAAAGAGTACTTATGATTCATTTCAGAAAGTTGTCTAACAAGTGTTTTTAGATAGATTATGGCGAACCTCTCATTACACGCGTATCAAAATTAATATGCTTTCCAAACCCCTTATATATCACACCATTTAGGAATACAAACGATTTCTTGCATGTAGTGTGTTACGAGCAGCAAGCTTGTCAACTTTTGAAATTTTCGAAGTCGCAAGAGGTCAAAAAAAGGCCTTATTGAGAGCTCTCAAATTTTTTTTTAACGTATTCCCAGAAATCAATGTGGTTTATGGTTTTATTTACTTACTACCAAAGATAGTTTAACGGGCAAAACTTTTTTCCGATGCGAAACGCCTTGGACCGCTCTTACAGAGATCGCCACCTAATTGTTTTATGTTACGAGATTGAGTAGCGTGAGTGATGATTGATTAATTCACCTCTTCGGCGTTAGATTTCACTTGTAGTCTGACGTGACTCATTCGAACACAAGTGGACATTCGAACACAAGTGCACGGTTTCGGTTCCTAAGTGTACTTCAAGAATGGTTATGACAAAGAGATGCACTTATGGTAATTGAAAAAAAAAAAAAAGAAAAACGATTCCCGATACCCCAACTCCTGGGTAAGAGACACAAAGGGTGATCCGGTCAAGTATTTCCATTTTCCTTTTTTTCAATGATAAACTACTGTCCTATGAGCAGCACTGTACGAATTGAAATTGTAAATAATAGTTTATTCTCCCGCGCGTTTCGTCTGACAATGGGAGACTTCGTCAGGGAGTTGTAACAAGTCGGAAAAATAAGCTTGCCTATATCCACATAGAAAATACGATGTCCATTCTCGACCGTGAAGCAAAGTGTTAAGTAGCCAGCGAGACAAGCGCAAGGCGAGCGCGAAGCGCTAATCACGCGCGAGGGGAGAAGTGCGAAATGTTTTTTAATTCAGGTGCTCCTCCCCTCACGCGTGACTCGCACTCGGTGCTCGCCTCGTTCTTGCCTCCGTTTTGAATGAAAAACACAAAAAACTTACGCCTGTCCTACATGCTAATTGTGAAGCAAGCACAAAGTATCTGCAAGGTGTGACAAGGGTGATGTACATGCGTGACATTTTTCGGACTTTACATGCATGGATGGGTACGTGGGTACGTGATGTGTCTAGGATCATAGATTAAGTAGTGGGCGTTGCAATTAGAGAACTTATCATGTCGAATTCAGCTCGACTGGTTTTCATAACAGCGATTAAAGCGATACATGTGTTTTGAATGCAGCTTTCGGCTGGCTTTAATTGCTTAAAGTTCGCTAATCTCGAGTTTTGTTTCATAAGGAATATCAAGGACTTCATTACACTGTACATATTCGCGTATCACATCTGAGGCACCGTTAAAAGACATGGAGATTGATAGATCAATGTTTCTTCGCCATAAGGCGATACCTCTACTTTCGTTGATTCAAGCAATCTTGGTCGTTCGTCTTGTTTCCTCCGAGACGGGTGAGTCAATGCAATTGTATTTAAGTAACCAATGGTATGTTTTAAGTGCTTTTTTTACTATAGTTCTCCAAAACGGACCTCATGAAGTCGAATGTTTCCGTGTCAGTTTCCGATGTCAAAATGCTAACTTGAGGCTATATCCTGTGTCTGGATTGAAACGCCTCTTTCTCTTATTTGTCTTTTAGTTATTCTAGATTCTCATTCTCGATACGACCAATCATGGGATTGGCTAACCACATATGAACTGGCGACTGGTAGCGGGGTAAGAAGCTTCTTTCAAAGTGATCTAAATGTAGTGGCTCAGTAATGTGGGATTCAATATTTGTGGTTTCAAGTTCCAGATTTAACCGCTGTCATTCATTTTGTTGTGATCTTGGGCAAGAAACCACAGCGTCACAGTACCTCATTCCGTCACAGGAGTATGCATAAATGGGCAGCTAGAAACTAAGAGGGAAACCTGATGAAGGTTGGATGAGATAGTTTATCATTCTGTCCAAGAGCACACAGCAATTTTCCTGGACGCTTCAAGCCAATGGGAATGGAATAAGCTTTGGCGGCAATGAGGTGGCCACTTGAAGCTGCAAGAATCTGGTCATTATGGTGGAATAAACGGTTTTAAGTCATTTTTTCTGTCATTTCTCTTTAGTGGGGCCGCAGTTCACAAACAGGAGAGTACCTCGTCTGTGATCTTCCAGAAACTGCAACGAAAAGCACCAACAGTTGGCTAATTTCAAATTTCATTGACCTGCAAGGCGCAGTATCAGTAACTGTTCAACTAGAATTCACTGCGAGACAATGTGACCGTCAGTCACTTCCTTTCTGCAAGGAATCATTCATGTTATATGTCTACCAAACAGACCAAAGGTTAATATCTGGAGTGCAGAAATCAACGATTCTGGCTGGACATTTTACGTTCGCTGCAACCATCGCTCCTATTCACGTGTGGAATTCTGCTCAGGCGAGAATAACAAACAAAGCAGCAGTTGGACTCACTGTTCAAAGCAAAGGACTTTATTTAGGATTTCGAGACATAGGAGGGTGTATCGCACTCGGGAAAGTTCAAGTTGTTTCCAACTTTTGTCCTGGGAAAATCATTGGTGGGGCAAGTTATAATAGAACCCCTTCTCCTCCAAATGGACATGCTGTCAAGGTAAATGGTAACTGTGCAGTAAACTCAGAGAGTCCGCATAACGCGAACACACTACACATGCAGTGTCAAAGCAATGGAACCTGGAATAGGCCAGCAAGTGCCGCTACTTGTCTGTGTAAACCTGGTTATCAAATCACTTCTCAGGGATGCCAAGGTACATAACTTGATCCCTATTATAATGTAGACTCACAATTAGAGGTATTAATTAAATCTAGAATATGTTGTAGTTCATCATGGCTATATAGATAAATGAATGTTTAGCCGTTTGTCTCTCGATGTTGATTAAAGCAGTAAGTATCTTGACTCTACGTCCGAGGCAAACGATTAAACGTTTAAATCAAACATAGTTACCGAAAAACAGACAAAATGGACTTTTGGGTAACCAGACAGGCTGATAGGCAGACATCGATCGACAAGCGCAAGGACAGCAAGAAAGATAGACAGACCGGCTTGGAGACTGCAAGACGGACTGAATGACTACTGGTGCCCCATTTATACAACCAACCAACTAGAAAACCGTCAGCGAACAAACAGGAGACAATTCAGACAAACAGACAAAGAGATAGACAAGGAAACATGCAGACTGATAGAGAGAAATTGGAAGAAAAAAGCACGCGATATTTCTTTGAATACATAGTTAGGTTCCAACAAATTAATTTGATTATTTTCAATCAAAATTTTGCTCACAGAATGTCCTAGTGGAAAATTCAAACCCAGCCTAAGCAATTCAGAGTGCAGCAGCTGCCCGGTGAATACTAATTCCAACAACTCTAGACAGCAATGTGAATGCAATGCAGGATTTTATCGGGGCCCAAAAGACAAAAAAGAAGGAAAATGTACAGGTAATGCAAACGACATGTTGCTAGTAGGCACTATAATGCCTGGCATCTGTTCAGTTATGCTTTGCAAATGACATTGTGTTGGTGACAAAAAGACTTTCAGTCACAGAAAACCCACGGAAATATGAGATCGATCTGCTTTACACCTTAAATAGAAAAATAAATAAGTATAACTAAAAACGCCTCCGTTTGCTTGATGATTGGCAACCTTTCACTCAAAATAACAACAGAAATCTTGTAATTCATCACTAAGAAGTTGTGCGAAAGGCCCCCTTTCCCCTAAGACAATGTTGTATGAAATTAGTCGTCATTATGTTAACACCAGACTACATTGAATTAAGGAAGAAGGAGATATATGAAAGTTAAAGTAAGAATTTCAAAAGAAGTGGAACGTGTCAAGAATGTTGTCGGATATTGTACATAGTTCGAAGTTTCCATTTGATTCTTTAAAAAAAGAAACAATCTTTCACGTTTTCTTTCATTTGCTTCAGCACCGCCATCAGCTGCAAGAAATTTATCAATAATATTTCAAGACCAATCCGTAATCGTTGTTGCTTGGCTGCCGCCTTTAGACAACGGAGGGAGAGAAGACGTCGTCTACGACATCAACTGCTTTCAATGTGATCCAGGTCCACACTGCAGAAACAAGCAACTCTGTGGTGGGAAACTAGAATTTTGGCCAGTGAGGTTTAATAATCATTTTACGCATGTTACACTGACAGGATTACAACCCAACACATCATACATGCTTAGGGTTACTGCTGAAAACGGAGTGAGTTACTTGTATGGGCCTAGTCCGAGTAGGAATGCTGAGATTCAGTTTGGAACAAGGATTTCAGGTAACTATGCTGTATTCTGTTATAAAAAAAAAACTGCATAAAGTTTAGTGGTGAGCTAAGGCAGATTTGCATTATGGACAGAGTCTATATATAAACACTTAAATTAATTTGAACAAGAAAGTCAAGTTGCTATGCAGTCCTTTCTTTGTTTCCCAATAGATTCAAAATCTGATTTACGTCACATTATTGTTAAATCTCACTTGAAATCCTTGGTCAGGTTTGCCCTGTAGCATTCTCTAGGGAGTCTAGTTCACTTATTTTGATCTAATAGCCTGTTGAGAGTGCATGGTTATCAAATTTCTGCTTTAAATAAAATACTTGACAATAGTGCGGAAAATTATTTCCTTGATTCTATTCACGTATAAGGAGAGGTACTCTCGGCTGCACTCATTCGTTAATTTTCTGATACTGCTTAGCCCGTGTGGAAATTGCAACACAATGTAGGCATTGCCAATGAAATATACTCAATAAAAGTATGTCTCTCTTTATTACAGCTAAAATGCTTTTGGATAAGACCTATGTTGATGACACTACAGCTGTTCTAACATGGAATTCCGTGGATAATCCTCACGAGTTTTCAAGCTATGATCGCTATGAAATATCCTGCTTTAAATGTGATCAAGGCGGAGACAGTGTTAATCACCAATGTACAGAATCCTGTGGGGAAAAAATACGGTATTGGCCGGGTAAAGAAGGGCTCAAGGACAACCACGTGACTGTGTCGGAGCTGGAACCATCCACACTGTATAAGTTTGTTTTGTATGTCTGGAAATACCGTACTGCGTTGTCTTCAGTGTTGATCGAGACAAGTGCTTCCACAGAAGTTTCTCAGGGTAAGGTATTCAAGATATTTACCATTAGATTATAACTTTGGGAAAAGAGATCCAAAGAGAATAATCTAATGAGGTGCATAGCTAGCCTATGACCCGTAGGCCCAGATCTGCAATCTTTTTTCGCTCGCTTGACTCAGCGATATAACTCTTACAAAGGTTGAAACAAAAATTGGAATTTTTTTACGGCATACTCACGAGTAATTAAATAACAAAGGAAAAGCAAGAATTAACCTCGTAACGTTAAAGCGCTAGGTTAGCACGTTTCCAGGTCTCTAAAAATGCCTTCAGCCAGTCAAAAAGCTGGATAGGGGCCTTCTAATTGTTTTGAAACAAATCTATCAATCGCTAAAAACTTGATGATGAGAGAGACTCATGATTAGATTAATTACTTTCCTCACCATCTATCAGGGAATAGACAGCCATTAGCGTCACCAGTCAGGTTTTTAATCGAGTAAATAATATTACTGTGAAACTCACACACTCAAAATGGCAGAGTTGCCTTTCAGTCACTTTTGAAAGACCATCTACAATCTGTCACAACCATTTTAGGCACCTTGAAGTATTCAAATTCTTTTAAAGGTGAGGAGAAATAATTCATAGTAACTTACAAATTCTTAACTGTATTTACTTCAGGTGGACAATTCTTTAACCTACCGACAATAATTGCCTTAATACTGGCAGGTATATTATTCATTGTTGCTGTGATTATATTGCTGGTCACTTGCCATCTCAGAAGACGCTGGTACAACACTGGCAAATCCGTGGGTTCAGATAATAATGGCTCTAACGAGGGTACTTACTCCATTGAAAATACTGACAACACAATAATTATGGAAGAAATACTACATGACATTGACCACTCTACAGCGGGGAATCAAATGCGTTAAAAACTGTCAGAATGCAGGAATGGTTCAGCATCAAAGTTGAAGTGATTTCGTTGTTAGCCTCTAAATTCCCATGAGTGACCAAGACAGAATTTCTCCTTACAATATCAATACAATATCAAGCAGATAGGTGATGAGAATTAAGAAAAATTTCAATTATATTAGCTAATAGTGGATCAGTTTATTGATCCAAAACCAAATTCTCCAAACTAACATCAAAAGAATTGTATGTTAGACAGTAGGAATAATTACTCACAAGATCTTGGGCAGACCAGGGGTTAACGATTTGTCTTTAGTTATCTATCTATAATGGGACTGAAGAGTTATTTTGTAAACAAAATTCGATATCTATTATATATTATTATATCTATAATCCCTTTTCTTTGTTGTTCTATGAATTGTTCTGCCATCAAACGCCGACGAAGCACGGCAGCACGATAAAAAAAGGAATTTACTGCGTTCGATTACAATAAAGTATTATTGATTTTATTATAGCTTAGACACTTGTTTATGAATTTGAAAACAATTTTAGCGTATATAGACTTGGAATATTGGCAACCCAAAGGATACCCTGGGTTGCCTACATTCACGCATTTTTTAGGGGTGTCCAAGTCTCCTGTCTAAATAACTTTAGACAGGAGAATTATTTGGCTATAAAAGTTATGCCAGATGTCCTAGCTACGGGGCATTCTTCCTTCACAAAATCAATGTCGGATTCAATAATGTGTTACTGTATTACACTTAAAATTATCATAGTTTTGACTTCAACTGAATATTGGACAGAAATTTGGTAAAAGTGAACGTCACTTTGACTTCTAGGGAAACAAAAAATCGAGCACTTTTCACTTATGCAAACAAGAAATTTATATTTGAGGGATCTTTGGTTTTTCTTCGATGTCTTTAAGGGCCGCCGAAGTAAAATTGATATATGTTGTTTTTACTCTCCAATAATTTCTTTGTTTCATTATCTGTATCAATAACAGAGTAAAGGCGCCAGGAATACAAAACAAAAAAAATGACATGTGTTTTCATTTCCTCAGAAGGAAAATTATTGCTTTATTTTGTAAACATAAAATTACTTTCGGTCGAATTGGTTATATTTGATGCATACAACAGCTTTTGTTTTGTTTTGTTTTTTTTAACCAAGTCTGATTGCACCAAGTAACGCCATTATGATATGACAGCACCAATGGCAACCCTTTATTTCAAATATGTTACCAAAATTAAAAATTCCACAAATCAATCACAAATTTTTTAACGTCATTTTCTTCAGACTACCTACATTGCTTTCCAGCCATTAGTGATTTCTGCACCTCCATCAAGCGATTCGACTGTAACCTTCCTAGCCCTAATATTGTTTGACATTAGTAAGAATTGCTTGGTTTTTTCTGGGAAAATCTATTCCTCTTATTACTTAATTATTTCTCAGTTTGAAAAGATAATTGCAAAATCAAAATTAAATATTTCTAGATCACTCTATTCACGGGAGGTATCTCCTCAATGGTGTTACTCCACCATGTGTCGCACGCCAGAAAACAGGTTCATTTTTTTTTGTTTTTTGAATTTAAATTATTCTTTCATTCCTTAGATGTACATGTACATGTATTATAGAAATGCTTATTTCTAGAAAAGAATCTACTTATTTAGCTTATCTTATGAGCTTATGGTCTCTTCAATGTGTTTCCACATCAACCCTGCAGTGAAACAAACTGGCGCCCTGATGTAGGGTCTCATAGTTATAGAACAAAATAATTTTCAATCATCCTTCACCACTCACACATACGCAAATACCGGTTTCTCTGTAACAATTTTTTTACAAACGCTAAACTTGGCTTAAATAGAGTACAGGTGGGATGAACAACCAAATTAATTAACAACACATTCAAATAAATTTTTTGCAAACCACGTTTGTTGCCTCTCTTTAGCGTAAGAACCTTTCCAATACATTTCTGAACGAGATCCATTTTTACGAACTCTCCAGGTTTACAAAACTTGTAAAATATCTGCAGTCAAGAAAAGTTGCTAAAGGTATTTCGCAGATGTCCCCTTTCTGGTTATTTCGTACCAAGAGTTCATGCTAAGAGTTCATGCCCTCGCTCTCTAGTAGTGGATGATTGTCAAATTTTCTAACGAAAACCACAGAACAGCAAACGTTTATAACCTTTTCGAAACTTTTCGTTGAAAACTGCGTACAAACAAGGATTGAAAGCGCTATTGCTGTGTGCCAGGAAAATGCGCCAAAATCTTAAATAACATGGCACTGGATTAAACACAATTTGCGCAACAAAGTATGTCAACCAACAAAACAAAAAAGCAGCGGTGACCGTCAGTAGCATGTGTATTACCTTTCTGCTTGCTTTGTCTCGACTTTTCTTTACAAGCTTGGCTATTTCTTTGTCGCCAGGCACTTTTGAGCGCCTCAAGGTTACCACTATCACAGAATAAGAGGCGAGGATGACAGTGAATGGGAGAGCGTAGAAGGCAGTTAAAAGGAAAGTGTAATAAATTTCTCTTGCGTTTACGCGTTCAAATGTTCTTGTAAGATTTGCACCACATGTAAATTCGCCTCTTTCTTCGTGAAACGTTATCCTAAGTGAATAAAAGTAAGGAAAACGAACGGCCAAAGCAACGAACCAAACGAACGCGATAACAAACTTCGAAGATTTGACAGTGAATAGTTCCTGTTTCAAAGGGAAGACAATAGCAAAAAATCTATCTATGGCCAATGTCATCAGCGTAAGAATCGAAACTAAAATGCCGACGCCGTGTAAATATGGAACGAGTTTACATAGCACTGAGCCAAACGTGTCTTCCACCAACCATTCACTTCCTCGTAACCACATAACAATGAGCCGTGGCATGTACACCAGAGTGATAATCAAATCTGTAGCTGCCAGGTTCACAATGAAACAGTGAAAAGATTTTCGCATCGTTCTGTTACGCCGCACTACCATAATTGTCATGGTGTTACCCAGGGCTGATACCAAAATAATAACACAGTAAACAGCGACTCTTGTCACTCGTATGGCCGTGCTATTGCGATCGAAGCAACCTTCTTCAGAAGTAATGTTATGTACCGGTCCATTTAAGTTTGCATCGTCGAAAAAATTGTCAAGTGAGAAGTTGACCATAGTGAAACTTGAAGGACAGAAAGCTCACGTTTTTTTGCTCCTCAAAAGTTAGTCTCTTAATCCGACTTCAAGGTTGCAAGTCAACTAAAAGTTACCTTCAATTTGTAACAACATCAGCTTATCACAATGGACTTCCCTGACTTAGGCGGTAATGATTTGATTTGTTTGTGCATGAATTTTACAAAGATTAATTCGTTACTTAAAGTAACTTCCTTTTGTCAATACATTGTTTACAGTCATGAGAAAGATATTAAGCTAAAACTAATATAATTTTTGACTCAAGATAAATACGAAATTTCGTGCATGACACAGCTGTTTTGTAAAAAGTAGACAGTAACTTCGAAGTGCATTTCACTTATCAGAATTAAGCCGCAAAATAAATTTTCGAAACGTTCGGTGAGAAACTCTGCTGGATTGGTTTGATAATTTGTATTTCTATAGGTGTTATCAGAGCGTCTATTGAAAGAGCCTGTGGCGCCGAAAGTTCAACAAAAAGGCTATGAATTTTAAGTGGAGAAAATTTCGGGCCTTCAGCACCCAGTCGCCTTTGTCCTTTGTGTATCGGGTTACATTAATTATCATTTGGATTTTTGGTGGATTTTCTTATGACTCGGAAGTGTTTTATTAAACGGAAATTGTACTTGAAAAGTGTCACCCTTAAGTGCAAATAATAAGGGTACAAAAGCAAAGAGAGAAATATCGCTCTCTTAAAAAAAAATAGTAAAAGGAAAAGATACTAAACGGTGACTCAATTTAACAATGCGTTACCTAACAAAAGCAAGTTTGGCTTACACGAATGAGTAATTCATCTCATTGCTGTTGCTTTATTCTAGCCTCCATGGCCACAAAACTTTTCAATTATTAATGCATTGTACTTTCTAGTCTATTATCATGTAAATGTATCTCCTTTTTTTTAGGTAATCGAGCTCCCATCTGGCCTCGTTTTGAAAGAGAGGCCAGATAGCCACCAGACATGAGTAATTAGCTTTCACTGCACTGATAGGAAAATCTTTTGAATAAAGGATAGATAACTGTATATATCCTCTAGACAAAAAAAAAAGGAAAAAAAATCGCATTTCATATTTTTTGTAAAAAACGGGATGAAGTTTGATTTAATCAACAGTGCCTTCTTTAATATCCTAAACCACACGTGTAAAGATGTTACGTTTGGGTTGGTAGGACTTACACGGAAATGATGCAGCACCCAAAAAAATAAACAGATTTAGTTGTAATCATTATGGATGTTGTTTCATAATATTAGGAGTTTATCATTATGATTTTGATGAGAATGATCCAGTTAACTGAACTTGAGCACCCCTAAGCATAAAGGACAGTGATACGAAGGAGAGTTGCATCTTAAGGCTTACACCTGTACGTTACAAGCCGTGTACCTAGGTTATTAAATAGGAAAATTTCATAATTTAAACGCTATGATTATGAAAACGAAATCATTACATGCTCGTGGGGTCGTGTGTAACGAGCTAGAAGTGTAGGTAATAACATGATTTCGAGTGCAATTTGGTGTTAATAAGGACGAGTGAATTTTTCAAAGATAACAAAAAATACACGAACCCGTAGAACAAGAGCAATTTGTAGTCTTTGAAAAATGTACAAGACATTATTAAACCAAACTGCAAGAGAAATCATGTTATCACTTGTTAATAATGTACACGAAAAAAATATTACAAAAAGTCAAGACAGACGAAATATCGAAAGCCCGCGCGCTATTGGTAATTTGAACTCTTATTACAACTTTTAACTCGTGCTACATGAAAAGGAATAAAGGGGATAATTTTCTAAAGAAACTGTGGTTCTGCGTCGGTGGGAGAGCATAACAGGATAATTTAGTGTTATCAATTGAGTTGAAAACGTAAATTCCTCCAATCGTTCTGACAAAGGGCTAACGCTCGAAACGTCAGCCTTCAAACTAAGGTGGCCAATTTACGTTTTCAACTCAGTTAATAACACTAAATCACCCTGTTATATGAGAATGTTTTCAGCTAATCAAAAGCGCGTAATTTTTTCATGTACATAATTACCAAAGTAACCTTTAAGTAAAAGTAGATAAAGTATATGAAATAAACAATCAGATTTAAAAGTTATTTTCATGACAATACAGAAAAGAATTTTATAATTTAAGATATTTCATAATTCAAAATCGGACATCTTCATCTTTGAACAAAATACCCGTTTATTTGAGATTATTGGAAAGAATGGAAACTCATCATTTCTCTATGACTCCAAAGTAGATAACAAATGTTACAAATGTTATAATATCTTTCGCCCAAATTTATTCGTTTTATTTTGCTCATAAGGGACCCAATTTTAAAGGCCATTCAAACGGTTTTTGTTTGGTTTCTTCGCCTTTGAGTTACATCTCCATCATAAGCGGAGCTCGCAGTGCGATCGTAGCAACATACTTATAAGAAATAGTAATTGAAGTTCACATACTCGAGTGCCGAACTCAAGTGCAGCGTATCGCGGGCACACGGTCAGGCATTTCACCAGGGCTTCACGAGGGCTTCACGAGGGCTTCACGAGGGCTAGAAGATGTGAAGGCGCGCAAGCAGATAATTTGCAACCCGCGTTTTGAGCGGGAAATCAAACTGGTGAGGTCATAGTTGAACAGCTATTCTAAGTATTTTGCAATTTCTAATCAACTCGAAAAACAAACAACTCCGGCAGAGCTAAAGCTTTGTCAACTGGAGGAAATTATTATAATTCAAGTCCGTGGAGAAAGGGTTTTGAGTGAAAGCAGGCTGGAACGAGAGAGAGAAGCGACCAAAAAGAGCAAAAAGAGAAATGCGAAGAGCGAGTCGAGAAATTGAAACACGAGAGAGAGTTAGAAAGGACGCTAAAATAAGGCACAACACGGTGTGAGGAACTCGAAAGAGGAAAAGAAAAAGGCTTAAGTAAAAAAGAGAATATCTAGCTAGCGAAGAGCAACTTGAGAAGGAAATACAAAGAGCTCTAGAAAACAGACTGAAAAGAGGTCATTACTGAAAGAAAAAGCGAACTTCAAAGGATCCAAGAAAGAAGAAGTGGTAAGTTGAGTCTTATTTGGGTTTTCTTTTACGCTAAGGCTTAGGAAAATTGAAACATTTTTTCACTAATCATTTTTTGATACCAGCTCCAGTGTATAATTCATTGCTGTTTAGATGAAGACAAGAAATTTAAATATAGTTTCGGTAAAATTTTGGCATTCGTCGCTTTAACACCCTCGTGCCGGTTGATCACCCGAATTATATTTCAAACTGTTCGCATTCTTAAAATTATTTCTTGCCTATCGTTTGCAGGGTTTAACACAGACGTTGTGTTAAAGTTATCTTTCGAATTATTTTTTGGCTACAAAGTTTCCAAATCATAGCAAACGGCGTAAGCAAGTTGGTATCATTCTCTATTTAATTAAGTATCGCATGGCTTACTTTATTCATTAAAAAAATTCGGGCTTTGTCGAAGATGTGTGGTTTAACCCTTAGAATGAAATAATGGCTTTCCAAAAATCAAAATAGAATGAGATTAAGTCAGTGATATTCATGAATACATCAAGTCTGACGGGCTAATTAGATTTTGGCAATATTGTCATGTGTCGATCATTTGAAAACCCGTGACGGACCGCGAATACGTGATGCAAACAAAAGCCCGGGTCGCACTTTCAATCAAGAGTAAAGCGTACTTAATGTGCTGGTTATGATGAACATGTGTGCGATCGATACGATACTTTTTTTCTAATGCTGGAAACTAAGGAATCAATCTCTGAAATTGTCATCACGTTTTGCAAGAAGTGTCCGAGCTTTGATCGTGTGTTGAAACGGGGTCCTGGCATTGAGCTCTCTTGCAGGCTGGTACGTACATGGTTAGCGTATTTAATTGTTGCTTACAGTTTTTTAGTTCAAGAGCTGTTTTTGAGAATTCACGAGTCCGTTTCTGTAACCTTCCTGGATATTTTTTGTTGAATTCACTGAGTTACAACCTCGGAACTTCATAAGCGATTAGGAACAATGTATTCGAATCGACACCACCATCTAAAAATATTTCTGGCAGCTTTCTGAAGACATTTTCGACGAGTTTACAGTTCATGAACCATTTCTGTGACTTGCTTTGATATTTTCTTTTGAATTATTTGAGTAACACCCTAGGAATTTCATTAGTGAGGAAGAACGATAAATCCGTCAATTTTATCACAAGTAAAGCATATTTTCAAATTATTAAATGTTTCATGGATAATTTGGCATACTTCGTTGATCATTTGATTAATTTGTAGCCTAAAAAGCCCCATAGAACTCAGAAGGTACTAAACTTGCCATATTTGAGAAACAAGGCACAATTTTACGACCGTATATTGCACCCGGTTTACATATGTAGACAACTACACGATTATCTAATTCCCATTATCACCAGGATAGCTGTAATCAGAAGCATAGACATGTTCGTGTAAGTTATATGCCACTGTTTTATTTGATTGTAATGTGTTTCTTTCTATGTAGCATATATCCATTCCTTTAATTCCCCCCTAACCTGCCTGCAACTAATTTAAACGTGTTTAATTAAAATATGAGAGTAGTTGCAGAGTTTTCTGTCCAGATTGAATTTAGGTGAGCACTGCTGTGTGCCAGCCAATGATTAAAATCTCAATATAAAGATATGCCATATTTGAACAGTTTTTTAGAATTCCATCTTAAAGTTTTTGGTATCTACTCTAGGAAAATTCATAAATGGCATTGCTTTTTCATTTAAAACCTGAATTATGTTCTACAGTCAAGTTAATGTCAGTGAGTTTGAAGCTTCATTCTACACAAGAACACTTTCTTTCTATGCTTTCTTTCTCATACATATGACTTGTCTTAAAAAGGGGAATTTATTTATATTTTATTGATTAAAATATACTTACTGTATGTTTCAAATATGCGAGTAACATTTGATGTTCCCACATGGAACACGATGGTCCAGCTGAAGATAGCCCAAAAAAGGAATTAACTTGACTGTAACAATTGGGTGACTAGTTTGTAAACTTGAGCAATTATACACCATGGCTTGTGATTCTGA